AAATATATTGATAACTATTAATGATTCTTGGTAAAGGGTACTTGGGTTGGTCAAGAACAAGACATCATCTGCATACTAGACAATCTTGTGCATACTTTTTTATAGTTTTTATGCCAGATATTTTTTCATTACATCTAATAGCTTCTGCCAGGGGTTCCACTTTACAAGAGCGAAACAACAGCGGTGATAGGCCACACCCTTGTCTTGTACCCAGGGGGCTGTATATATGGGCTAACATGGCATAAGCCCCCTATCTTTTACAGTATGATAAGTAAGATGAAAAACTATTATTTAAAAACCTTAGAACATATTGTTTTTGAATTTTGGTAAACCTAGAGCAACAACAGCACAAAAAAGTGACAGAAAAAACCCAGATAATGATATATCTTGGGTTTTTCCTGTGAATGGGGTTAAATTTATTCACTTTTGATTGACAGTGTCGTGACACGGCCATAATAATGCTGCCATTTGGGCTAAATTCATTTCAGCCCAAGCACAAGTAGCTAAGCTTCTATTGACTTTTGATTTACAGGTGTCCTGACACGCACCCCCTTCATATGCTGCCCATTTGGGTAAATTCATTCAGCCCAAAGGCTGGACCTTCGACCCAATCACAGGCACAGCGCAGAAACCTAGGACAGACCCCGGCTTTGGTGGGTGGCGTCTGCCTCGACCAGTTGGGGGTGAGAAGGAGAGAGATAGAGAGACAGACAGACAGACACAACAACTACACCAATACACTAATGAACATGAAGAAGATGATGACGACGACAACAGCAGAACGATGTAGGACTAGCGAGTAGTGACAACAGCAACAACAGTAACTGTTAACAATAATAATACTTTAATAATAACTAATAATACAAACAAAGGCTTGTTTTGAGAAAGCGGCACTTGTTGTCTTGCATGTGAACATTACCCAAATGATCTACAGAGAGAAACTGAAAGGTGGAGCTGATGGTGAGTTACAGCAGTGTGGAGTTTGACATGGTGATTAACCTGTTTGCGTCAAAGAAAGGCTGTCCGATGTGAGCAGGGTTTTAAATAAGGTTTGCCCAAGCTCTGAAAACACACTCTCTCTTCTACAAATAATTATTTTGTTTGGTTTTATAAGAGGAATTTATTTTCTGTACATGGTTTGCATTTTGCTGGTACTTTTCTATAATGTTGTTGTAAAGAGAGAGAGAGAGAAATAGAGAGAGAGAAAGAGAGAGAGAGAGAGAGAGAGAGAGAGAGAGAGAGAGAGAGATTTTTTTGGCATCAGGCCATTTTTTTGGGTATGTCTCCCCAGTGTTGCCATAGAGCACTTGCTATAACAAAGTATACAATGTTGGTTCCTGTAACTTGATGTGATGCTGCTGTTGGCTGCTGTGTGATGTATTGATGAGTGTAATGCATTTTTAACCCACCCACCCAAAATCTCCACCAGCCGTCACTGCTTGTACCTCTATTTATTCTAAAAGCATATAAAAGTATACCATTCACAAAAATAGCAGATTTTGGTCCTGTATAAAGCATTTTAACCAAATTAATAAATGTTTTAGGAGAAGAGAATTTATGTAGGACTTTGAAAAGATACATCCATTCAATTCTATCAAATGCTTTCTCATCATCCAAGCTTACTATATATAAATCTTTGTTCTTATTTTTAGTATACTGCATGATTCATTTAATGTCTTAACAGAACATGCATTTTGCATCACCAATACGCACACAGGTGTAGTGTGAAATTAGTAGTATTGCCAAATTTATGGCAAACCAATAATGAGTCCCATTACCATATTGCATTTTTTTCAGGAGGCTCATGCCTCACCCAGAGACCTAATAATAAAAAATAAAGATGTCATCTGACTCTCTGTCACAATTAAACTAATCACATGATTCTGTGTTGCACAACTAGGCAGGTCAACCAGGTGTAATAATTTATGTACAGTCCCTTAGTGTTTTTGCAATAAGTTATCTTTGGTTAAAACAGGTATTGTCACTTTTTCCCACAGTTGCTAAATAAACAAGGGACCTGAAGAAATGCAGGAAGAGTTGAGGAAGTTTTTGCTACAGGAAATATTCATAATTTGTAAAATCCTTTTTTTTTTTTTTTTAAAGTCAGGGAACCCAGAGCTGAAGAAGGGGAGATAATACAGAAGGGTCCTCAAGCATCCCTAACCCTCATTCCTCCAGTCACACTCTAGATCTTTCACCGTGAAATAGCTGTAATGAAGCCTCTCAATTTACAAACAATTGGGTGTAAATGTGGCTGTAAGAAGTATTTGTGAGTGGAGGAGCTGTCTCTGTAGCTCTCGCTGAGAGAAAAGGGCTGGAGCTGATAGCTCTGTTTTTGTCTTTGTTTGGGGATGGGATGGGTTGGGAGTGCAAGTATTGACTTACTTAGTTACAACTATTAAGAATATTTATTCCATTGATATTGCAGCTTGGTAAAACATTTAATTAATAACCTTCTTAGGTGCTTCAATATCAATGTTTAAATATCTAGATATGTTAGAATACTGTTTTTTGCTTGTCGTTACCGGTTCCGATACCTGAACTTTGTGTATCGACCGATACTGAGTTAACTGTAAATACTTTTGAGCTTGACTTATTTTGACTTAAAGAACTTAGGTTGGACAATTAATTCAAAGTCTTATTTGAGTTGTAAAACAAATTAAGTTAACTTAACTTGAAAAAACTTGTTCATTAAGTTCAAGATATTAAGTTGAACCAACAACTATTCGGTCACACTGACACTAACATTACACACATTAACATTTTCTCAATTTGATGAATCAGATCTTTATTTCACACAACAAACTTCTCCTGATTCTCCAGCATTGGCACAATGACAATATATGAAACTGCTCCCAGTGACATTAAGTGTAAGGGGATAATGAATGAATTCAGTAACCATCATCATGGTTAACAATGTTTTTATTATTTTGAAAACAAACATCGTTGATTCCATTAAATTCCTGTGTTAGTTCTTGCTCTTATGATCCGATACATTTTGATATGGGGATATCTTTAATTATTTGTCAAGAACTATAGCTCGTTCTGTGAAGGAAGAGATAAGGCATGATATTCTAATATAACTCTGTTGTAAGCATACAAAATACAGCATGTCTTCATAGAAAATATTAAATATTTATCAATTATATGTATTAATAATAATATAATGTGTTGAAGTAAGGTGCAACTGACAGCCCCAGACCAAATCTAGTGAACCTTGAGTTAAAAGTGAATTTGGGTCAAGAATGACCCTTGAAGCTCAACATCCCAAGCTCATCACAAACCTAGTGAATGATTTCTTTATGTATATAAACAGTTAATAAATGCTTTATAACACACTAATGATTTGTTTGTGTGTATTAATTGCTATGATTACAGCTACTGTGTTATCAGCAGATGTTTCATAGGAGATGTTATAATTGTTGACAAATACACTAATAAACACTATCCTTATACCTCTCATTATGGTATGTTAGAAACAGTTTATTAAGTCTATATATTAGATAAAGTGATACCAAGTGGGAAAGATCAGGTAGGAAAGGTCACCATTTTTTGCATTATGGGAAATGTAGGATCCAGTGTCTTTGGCACTTGACCCACAAAGTCAAGGTGTCTCAGACTCTCAGATGTGTAGAGCTGGAATAAACACTTAACTAGTCTGAATCTGGTTGTGAAACTTAAACGTACTACAAGGAGTGTTGGTGAAACAACCTCAATTTGATACTGACGCCTCCATATGACCTACATAAACAAGACAATCAGAGAGAAGATTGGCTATTTCAATATACTTATTCTGCCAGTCTGCCACTGGGTACGATTCAGATTTTGTTCACAAGGGTTGCCAGAATCAACACAAAATGACAATTCCTTGTAGGGGCTTTCAAAGTGTATTTTACAGGTTTCAAAACGGTCACCAGGGGAATACAATAACTGCAGAATTAATTTGTTTCAAATATTTGTGAGAAGCGAATTTCATCCATCCTACAACATGTCACCATAAAGTTGATCAGTGCATGAGTTCCTTTCCAATGAAATACATTCTTGACTTGGTAGCACTACAAAATGTTCTTGTTTTTAATAGACCAATGAATGTTTTGAGACATTTTATTCAGCACCTTGTTTTCCCATCTCATCAACAAACTTCCTGCTGTTCATTTCAAGCACCCACTTTACTCTTCTCCATGACTAAAAATTAATCTGTCTGCATCTTCACATCGCACTGCGACGGGCCTCTCCCAGTGACAGATAAGACAGCAACATCTTGGCCAACAGTCATAAAGCTGGGCAGTGTTGTTGATGCACTGGTGCCTGGATGTCGCCATGGTGGCAGTAAAGCATTAGTTCTTGTTGCTGACAGGCCTGTATTTTCATCGGCAGTGCAGCCAACTCGGACCCGGCCACCATAAAGCAGAGTTGGAACACAACCTTTGGTCGACACTGTCGGCTTAAGCAACCGGCAGGAAACACACCCTCCTTGTACACACACACACACACACACACACACACACGACTGCGTGCATTGGAGCTTAAATCTGCAAGGGGACATATATCATAATGCACAAACATCTTTGCAGAAATGCAATGGATAAAGAGTTGAAATAGCAAGATAACAGTAATAGATAGAGAGTTGAAATAGCTAACAGTAATAAATAAAGATTTGAAAATAGCTAAAAGTAATGTAATGAATAGATAAATAGTTGAAATAGTAAGATAAAAGTAATGGCTTAAACACTTGAAATGTTTAGCTAAATCATAGAGTTTAAATTGGTAGCGAAAAGTAATGGATAAACACTTGAAATAGTTAGCTATATAATGGCTAAAACGTTAGCCACGCCAACAATGTACAGTAGCTGTGTAAAATCTTGTAATATCATCTCAAGTTGAGTGAAGATATTTGTGAGATTCACAGATTTTTGTAAATCAAATTAATAAAATGCGAATCAGTTTATTAACCTCAACAGATTCCAAAGAGCATCGAAAAAGAGAGGCAACAAAGGGAGAGAGTTCTTTAGAACATTATAACAATAAAATTCCCTTACATATTGACAAAATACATACAACAAAATTACATTATTATGTTTTAATAGTTCACACTCTTTTCCTTTCGCCTTCAATTTTTGAAATGAAAAACTGAGTCATTGCACTTTCATTATTGTCAAATATTACACTTCTGATATGTAGTCATTATGTCAGAATCCAAATGACTGCTCCAGATTTTCAGATGAATCATCTAAGATGCAGTTTATATCTGCTGTATCTTATAAAAACAATTCCCTCATATAATCTAAGCGTCACAGTTTAGAGGCTATACAACACAGCAGCCATTCTACAGCAATGAGCAACGGGCTATAACTGGCTGGTTTTACTGTCCACTGTGACTTTTAACTGTCCTTATCTCAACATAAATAATGTGCCCATAAAAGTTAATCATCTACACATTGGTAATGAGACATGTTCAACAGCCATAAAGATGGCATTTCTGCCCATTTTCCGCTTTTCTTCCTGCGATGACAACAATACGTCCAAACTGCAGTGAGGGTGATATTGACGAACACCAGCGACAGCAACAAAAACTTAATGATACTAGAATCAGCTATAAAAAGGAGTTACTATATCCATATCTTTATATTCCACTTGATTGTCTTTGCATTGGTATATTTGGTGTTTCTCCAAAAATAGAGATTTCTTTTAATAATAGGTAGTTCCTGTTGTTATACTGTTGTGAGTTCAGGAGAGCCAGGGTCAGTGTTTAGTCCTGGTTCAGCTGTGTTCTTTGGCTGAGCCATCGAGTGGGTGTGCTGTGGGTAATACACATCCTTTTATGAAAACCGCAGTCCAGGACGAGTATCCTGTCTTCTTGTTAAGCTAAAGTATGGTTTGAGGTGAGCTGTGCTGAGTCAGTATGTTACAGTATCTGATATGGCGAGCGGATTCCATGTCCTCAGGTCAAGTGAGCCTGAAAACATTCAGCCATCAGATACTGCGTAAGCCCCAGTTTAATGTTTATGGAAGACTGTTCCTCCACAGCTTCAGAGTGAGGAGGAACAGCTAGAAGATGGAGAGGTGGTCATGACAGAGCCAAAGTGAGCTGTGTGGTGTCAGTGTATCAGTCTTGTTGGTTGATGCGGCTCATGCTTGAGACAGAGCGCACCAGGAGTTCTGTGAGGCCAAGGAGGTTGGGGTAAAGGGATAATCCTCATATTTAATATCCACATGTCCTGAGCCGATGCTGTCCAACTGAGAAGCCGTCTGCAGGGAGGAAAGAGAGATTTCAATATAGCATGTTTAAAAGTGATTTTACACATTAAAGTTAAATTACTCATCATGAGGAGTACTAAACAGCTGTATAACGACTTCTGTGGTTCTGGAGCGAGCTCTCTGAAGTCTGAGAAAATAACCCTGATGAAATTAAAGCTGCAGTAGGTAACTTTTATAAAAATAACTTATATTTACTGAAACTTTCCCTATATCCTGACAGTAGTGCCCACTCCAAGCTCTAACGAAAAACAACCAATCACAGCCAAGAAAGATAGTCAAAGCCAGGTTGTCAAATATCGATGCTGGGAATGAGACTAATCAACTATCTTCGAGCGTCCAACCCAAAGCATCTTTATTTATTTCTCAGCTCTGATTAGTTGTTTTTCGTTCAGGCTAAGTGGATTCTTTCAAATGCCATTAGGAGCCAGTGGTTTGTCCGTTCTGGGCTACTGTAGAAACATGGCGTTAACAGCATTAACCTACAAGGACCACCAGAACTATATTTGCATGGAAAGGAGGTTTACCTGAGTGGCAGATGCAACGGTCTGTCCAGCGTAGGGTGAAGGGGCCATACTGGGTTCGCTTTTAATGGTGGAGGCGTATTCAGAGACTGAGAGGGAGGTTGGAGAGCTAGTCTCAGAGGTGGTGGATCCTAAACAATCAACAGGAAGTCAAATTAGTTATTAGATTGAGCAGGGCTGTCATGATATCATATTTTCACTATACTATTGTAGTGGCTAAAAGAAATTATAATGACAATATTATGACAATATGTATAAAAAAAATAAAAAAAAAATTAAAAAAAAATGATGAATGATTTGTGCTGAGTCTGATTTAACATTGTTTCTCCTACCTGTAGATGTTTTATTCTTGGGCATCTTGGGTTTGCGTTTCCTGGTCTGAATGCTCTCTTTCTTCATGGCCAGAGGTCTGGGAACCTGCAGGGGAGCAGAGCCACACACATTAGTCAAGCGTACCTCCCTGTGCCTGATACACCAGAGGCCACAGTGTCACGACAAACCACACAAGCTCCCCTCCCACACTGCCGCTCTGATAACAATGACCACAATGCCCTTGGATAGGCTTTACACTGTGCAAATAATGAACTGCTCCCTGCTGCAGTAGACGTTTGCCAGAGGAGCTGCAGGTTAGTGGGGAATGACACAAGGAGACTGGCTGACATTTTAGCCCAAATAAAGTGTTAAGAGGACCCTACGGGGCGACCTACCCCATGCAGTTTCATGTACAGGCCACAGGCGTTACACACAGGCTCCCCCTCAGCGTTGCGTCTCCACAGTGTGGTGGTGCTGGTGTGGCAGTTAGTGCAGCAAAGGCCGGCCCTACGAGATGTAGTCTGCTGCAGGTATAGAGAGGAAAAAAATGACATTTGAATTAAAAAACAATTTGACTTTTGTTGCCAATGAGAAACCACAGATCACAACTCACATCTTGGTACCCTAGAACTATCGTTTGAGATTTGATCTGTTCCCTTAACTTTCAGAATGAATTGCAGAATTGCAAATACTCATTATGTGTGACTATTGGCTTGCTTTTGCACAAGTGTGGAGCCAAAGAACCACAACAACAGCAGAGAGTCACGTTGCTCTAGAGAGCCTCATCTAAAAACGTCCCATCCAAGGGCAAGGTCGCTGCAGGACAAATAAAAACAGACGAAAAGGCCCAGTGGCTGATGGAGATTATTGGGCAACTCACAGCCACAGCTGCTCTGGAGAAGCAAGTTCCTGGGAAATACACAGCCGTGAAGCCTTGACACCCGCCAACCCACCCTCACTGCACCACCACAGTGTTCCAGTTCTATTTTCTCAGTTCCAATGCTCACACTACAAACGCATTATTACCTGCTTTTACCTCAGTAGTGACATTACATCTACTGTATAGAACAAGTTTATACGAGGTGGATTGTGCATTGTTAATTAATTCAGGCACAATTCACTTTTTTTTTGTGTATGAGAATTGAACATATTCTTAATGCAAACTAGGAGCCCTTATAGTGTTGCATTATTACATGTATTATAAGATTATTATTACAGGTACATTATCATGTGAGCAACCTTTTTAATGCTATAGCTGATTAAAAATGGAGATGGAGTTGGAGATCATTTCAACTTTCATTTAGGTAGTCCAATCTATGAAAGTGCTCAAACAGTAATTCAATTAATAGATGATGGACGGAAAATGGACAGTAAATAGCAGGTGTATATGATAACATTAACAAGATCTGAATTCCATTTAGCTGCTTCAGTTTCAGGCTCCTGTCACACGGCTTACTGGGGTACTTGAGCAGAACAGAGTCAATGTTATCAGTTATATCTGCAATGAATCTATTTTGATAATCACTTAATTTATCAGGCACAATCATTCTCTAGTTCCAACTTCTCCAACTTGAGGATTTCCTGCATTTCTCAATTTTATAAAACCGTAAACAGATCATCTTTGGGTTTTGGACTTTTAGTCAGACAAAAAAGCAATTTGAGAAAATAATTTTTGCCTTTTTTCACAATTTGTTTGGTAAATTTATAGAAACTATAAATGAGAAAAATAATCAAAAATGTATACACATATTTACATATTTATGATTTATGGTGGTGTAGCGGAGTTAAGAGTACAATATTTAAGAAGCTTAAAATGGAAATACTAGTAATAAAGTACCTCAACAAAATACTCACAGTACTTGAGTAAATGTACTTTACCCCACGGTCAATGTGTAATTCACCATTGTATGAAGCTAGATTATCTCTCTTTGTCTTTTTATGCTTTTATTTGCCTACAATACTGTTTATAATACGGTATATAATAAGGTGGGTAAATAAACATTTTATTATTTTTATTAGACCAATAAAGGAAAAGTCTTGCATTCAGATTGTTACTTCAATAAAAGTACAGAGGTGATATTGGATAAATGTACTAGAAGAATCCAAAGGAAAAGCGCCCTTTAAACAGAATGGCTTCTTTAGAGCGTTATATTATTATATTATTGGATTATTTTTATTGGTGCAAGGATGCAATGTTTTTAGCTGTGAACTGGTTGTAATGGAGCTCATTGTAATATTTTTTGGTAGTTCAAATTATAAGAATTTATTACGACACATTTTAATGAAAAATCATAATCTGCTGAAGAACTTGTAGTAAGTAAAATGCATATTATTATTATTATTATACTGGTGGTGTCTGTGTGTTTTGTTGGGAAACCACCTTGTTCTTTATGTGCCCAGCATTTTGTTAAGACTTTCATTCAACTTCAAATTTTATGTTGTATTAGCGCCAATTCATTGACAGAATAGTATTATTTTCAGGAACTACTGTTTCTCTTTCAAATAGCACGCTCAGTTGTTCTAGAACAGAAACTTCCTTTTTAACGATTTACAGAGACCCACAAACAGTTACACGCATGAGCCAACGACTCTGGTCAACCGCCAGGAAAGAACTGCCTTTTAGTGAGGCAGTAAAACTAGGACAGATCCTTCGGCTCTAGGTGGGTTGGTCGCGATTCTGCTTGACGCGAAGTTGGGGGGGAGAGAGTATGAGAAGAAAGAGGAGATGAGATGAGATCACACACATACAGATGTAATAGCAACAACAGTAGGGCAACAACTACTATTGGGAACTTGAGTAGAGGCTGAGGTGACGCACTGGGACTATCATTATGTTTGATGTAGGACAGGATTTTTTGGTCACTTACTTGGTCACTGGTAATGAGGCAGTATCTGGGAGAGTGTATACGTTGGGGAATTGAGGAAATGTATTTAAATTTCTGAGTTTATTTATGGGAGTACGTGAGGTCAGTGAAGGGTTGGTTGAGTGGTTTGGTGTCAGCCAGTTTCACAGTAACCCTTTTGTTAAAGTACCGCCAGATTAGAAAGTTAACAAAAATTGAGTTCAGGAGAATTCAACCTTAAAGAGTTGGGCGTAATTGAGAGCTGACTTGAGTCATGGTGGGGAATGAGTTTTTGACTGTATTATTTATATGTTTTGAGTTTTTATTGGCGTTAAATACTTAGGATTGTTAAAAATTGAGGGTTTTGTTTTTTATAAAAGGTGTGGAGTGTGGTGAGAGCTTTTACCGTGATTTATTTTATCAGTGGTTTTTTCTGAGTGCTGTGTGAGTACGTTTATTGGGTGTTTGGTACCTGTTTTTGGAATTTTATTTTCTTGTTGGTATTGACACTCGTGT